GATCAGCGGACAGAGCAAAAGAGACATTAACACAGTCCATCTTACACACCAGGGTTCACACACAGCGGCAGGAATCGGTAACCCAAAAATCAGCAAAGGCAACGCCGGCCCGGACGATAGACCCACCCAGCAGAGCGCAAGGCCCAAACAGCCACGAAAACAAAACATCGTTGGCGCCCCCCCCCTCAAAACAGAGCCGACCGGACCAGTCGTTCATTGAGGAAAGAGTCGAAGAACAACAAACAGCAGCCAGCCACAAGAAACGCAACAATCTCGTTGAGAGGCCGCAGAGACGAGAGAAACCAACAGGCACCAAAGTGAAGGACATGGACCGGGGATACCTCCACCCTGGACAAATGGTTTTGACATTCAGCCAGTAAGAACTCTCCAACGTGCAACTCGGAAATTGAGTCGATCCCTGATCTCATTCTCGAGTTCATCGTACGAGGGAGGCTCGAAACGGCTGTCAAAGCGTTCATGAACCGAAGTTGGAGAGTCAGGATCCAACCCTAACATATCGATCCGATCAGCCTCGACAGTAAGCAACATGCCGACTTCCGTGGCACTCTGTATGACCCTCAGCCTATCCCTCATACACATGGCCATGACCCGTCCATCAAACGCAACATGGAGGAGGATGTCCGGGGGACAGTAGGGCAATGGCTTTGGCACCCGGACAGGGCGTCTGTCAATGCGCAAAGCCAGCGCAACAGTGAGCTTTGTCATTCTACTTTCCAAGTCAGCATTGCAGACAGAAAGTGATTGGATCTGATCACGCAAAACAACAACTGTTCTGGTCTCACCAACCGGTACACGGTTTTCCAAAATGCCACAAAACAACTCGCGGAGCATTAATAGCTCACGAGTCTGGGACCGCCTCAAATCCAATTCAAAATCGGCATGCCTATTCCCAGGCACTGGCAAGAGGCCCCTATCACGCAGTTGCGCGAGCTCAGCGTCTTTCATTTGCAGGCTCAGATTCAAAGTCCGGACCAACGGAAGGAGCTCGTTGTTCGCGACAGCAAACTGCAACGCTGCTCTGCTCTGCGCATGCTGAACACGCCTAAGAAGCTCGCGCCCTACCCACTGAAGGTTCATAACCAAAGCCGAGTACATATCACGGGACATTTCATGAAGCACATTTGCGGCGACGATATAAAACAAAGGTGCCGCAATGGTAGCGAGGTCACCTGTCACATCAATATTCGCAACGAAGCTTTTGACCTCATGCTATGCAACTAACGCCTTGCATCTTCACTGGGCAGCATCAACCTGACTGTGAACATCTATCCTCCTCTCTAACCACGAAATTTCAGAGCGAAGGATATATTTTTCGTGCTCAGCAATAGCAGCCGCTGCGAGAAGAATCCCAATGAACTCCTCATCTAAGCGCTGCACACTGACGTTCTCGTCGAACGGAACGCGGACATGCCCATCTACAGGGTTCACATGGTTAACTGTAATGTTCTCCCTGACAATCAACAATGCCCTCAGTGCATTCATGTCAGCCTCATGGATGGATTGTTGCCTACGGATTTGTTTCTTCGGCGCTTTGTTTTCGACTCGTAGGCCTCTCAACACCCGCAGTAAGTCCCGTTGAGACACCGGGAAACTGGAGTCATCGTCAAACAGGCTGGAAGGCAATCTGGCATTGCTGCCCGCCCCAGGAGGAGGAATCCAATCAGATATGTACGCTGGATTAAGGATCCTCCCAATCGGGAACGAAGGCATCAAAGCTCGACCATTATCCATGGGAACAATGTTGAACCTACGACGGAAACAGCACCAAAAAGGCATAATCCGCAATCAGACAACAACGGGGGACCAACAGAGCACGGAACGGGACGAGACATGTATAAGAACTCCCCAAGAACGACAACCACGACACATGCCAAACGAGCAGAGTATATATCCATCAGAGTCGTGACCACGAATCCAGCAACAAACATCCAAGAATGAACAAACAAAACGCATCCCGCAGCACACGGTTGAGACACAAAGGATGGGAAGTCAACAATAAGGCCAGGGCTCCAAAGAAGTACATTTGGACCACACACGGCGTTGAACGGGCGCACGACCCGGAAACACACAAAGGTGGACCAAATGGCTGTGTGTCCGATTTTGAATTCAACGCGGGTTCCCCGTTGAAAAATTTAACGCGCGTTGAATTCCCGTTGAAACGCGAGTTGGACGCGAATTAACGGGGTCCGGGATGATTTTTTTCCAGGGCTACAAATTATCCAAAAAAAAAAAAAAAAAGGGTTGTAGTTTTTTTTTAGGACTACAACCCTGTATTTTTATTTTTATTTTTTGATGCTTAAATATATTTAAAAAAAAAACAAAAACATAAACACACAATGAAAAAACAAAAACTAAAATGAAATGAGCGTTTTTGTTTTGGGTTTCACACATATTTTTTAAGGGCTAAAACAAAAACGAAAAAAACAAATAAAAAATATAGGGTTGTAGATCTTTCAAAGATGTACAATAATCTATTTTTTATTTTATTTTTTTGGAACTTCGTGTATTTTTAAAAAAATCAAAACCATAAAAAGCAAATAAAAAAAAGGAAAAAAAGAGACACACACGCACACAAAATTGGGCCTGTAGCAGGTTGCATGAGTCTGGCGTCAGTTGGTTGAGGAAACCCAGGCCCTGGGCCGCCTGTGTGAATGTATGGAAAGCAGGCCCTGGGCTGGATATGGGTACTGGGCCAAACACAGGCCAAAGGCAGTTGGGGGCATGCAACCACCTCAGGCCCAAGGCCTGTTCTTGTTCGTGCTGGGCCTCAGGCTACCGGGCCCTACTGGAAGCTTCCTGGGACTGAACACAGGCAGGCCACTTCGATATAGCAAAGGGCCTGCCTCCACATTGGGCATTCGGGTGCTGGCTGCATGCTGTGTAAGCGCTGCCGCGCTGTAGCTCGCTGGCACTCACGCGCTCACGGGCGAGTAGGAAGGAGCAGGCAGCCATAACCGAGCTGCGCTGTAGCTCGCTGGCGCTCACGCCAACAATCATGCACACACACACACACACACACACACACACACACACACACAAACACACACACACACACACACTTACAAACACACACACAAACACACGCGCATACATTCATATTCATGCACAGACACACTCTCACGCGGAGGCACACACATACACACATACGTGCACACACAACACACCTGAACACACATAACTGGGGCGTTGGGGGTTGGTGGATGTGGGGGCGGATGGGAGATGCTTCAGGTTGTTTTTTTTTTTTTTTTTATTTTTTATTTTATTTTTTATTTTTTTTTTTTTTGCCTAGGGCCACGTGTTCCGGACCCCGCGCATCAATTCCGTTTTTCCGAAAAGCGCGGGAGCGGCCCATTTTCGCGTTTAACGCGAATTCAACGGGATTTTTTTGAATTTAACGGGATTCAACAGGAGTTTAATTCCCCCGTTCTCCGTTAAAAAGATACACAGCCAAATAGTGCAGGCTGCTGCACTGACTGCTGGGGTTGTGCACCCTGCCACTGTGCAGGCTGTGAGACAACAGGTTGCACACTTACTGCAACCTGCGACGGAGGTTGGATGAACACTGTCTGTACAGGAACCTGCAAACTAGGACCTGCTGAAAGCCCACCTGTTAACGGTATTCCCAGGGAGACATGTTGAACCGATACTGGAGTGGTATATGGGGATACCCCAGTCACCGGTGGAACAAAAGGAGGAGGAAGTACAACGGGCCAGGCGCCAAGCCCGAACTGTGATGGTGCCGCCTACGCTCGTCCGACCAAGACGGCCAGACTCTGCTGGATGTCCTGCAAGATAGCCGCCTGCTAGTCTTGCATCTCTACTACTCCTAACAAGACCGACCTCAAGGCCCTCACCGGATCATCCAACTCCGCTGGGTCCATCTCTCTTTCTTGTCGCCGCTGCAACCTGTCTCTTCTCCTAATCATTCTCTCTTTCTTTGCCTTAATCTCTCCTAAAGCCTTCTCTAGTTGTGCCTCTTGCAGGGCAGCCTGCTGTATGGCGATCTCCTCGGGTGACAACACCAATGGCTGGCTTGCCATAACGCCAGCGGACTGACTTTGGGTCTGCACGACCGTTGACCCTACAGATCCTCAACTACCAGCCTGAGAAGTTTACTGTGCAGAAGTGGCCATGGCTACCGAAGCTGCGGCTTCGCTTACGAGCTCCCTGCTAGCCTCTGCTGCTCTAGCTTTCCTCTGCTGCTGCTGCCTTTCCCTAAGCTGGCGGAACATATATCCGTCGCCCTCTGGTCCTAATGCCAAATGGGCAATCGGGCGTCTAGCCGATCGCAAGAGTCGGTCGTCCGGTTGTTGTTCTTCCCTCTCACTCATAAGCTATAGAACCGAGCACAATCTACACTAGGCTACTCTAGGTGCCTACCACAGCGTAATGCCCAGACCACTTTAAAATAAATAAATAATTAATTGGTGACTTTTTCGGAGCAGATACATTTGGGATCAACAGGTAAGTTCATATTCCTACAAATGATACTATTCTACTTTGACTAGCTCGCAAACAGAAAGCACAATGAAAGAATCAGTTCTAAAATATGTTGTCTGTCATATGTCAATGGCAGTACATCTAACTAATCAAAATAAAAATAACATCATCTGTTGGGTCTGTTCACAACATGGGATCTTACTCAAACCTATCACCTGGAATCTACCCCTTCCCCAATTCCCCTTGATTGTCACTTGACGTCAGCGTCCCTGAGCAATCCGGTTTGGCGTGCGTGACTGAAGGTGTGCACACGGCCCACCCCTGTGCCCCGAGTAGCTGCTGAGCTGGCCAGCCCTGCGCTGTGTTTATCCTCGCGTGCAGCGAGCCTTACACCAATTGGCTGATCCAGAGGCAATTTAACGACCGCCCGCAAGTGTCATCAGGAATTATTTTACGTCGCAGCAGGACGACGATCACAACCAATGGTTTCCCCAGCCGGTGTTTATTTATAGACGCCCGGTACTCGTCTTTCCCATAGGGCTGGCCTGCCCTTCAGTACCCCTTCTATGAGCGCAGCAAGCAGACAAGGACAAAGCAGCAAAGCATGCGTGCTCTACTCCAGATGGGTTGGCATGGTGACCGTGACCCAGTGCTCCGTCCAGGGCCCTTCACAAAGCACCGCCCTCTCCTTCCAGAATCTCCACGTGAACAATGCCAACTCTCAAGGTTGAGCGCACACGACACCTCACATGAGAGGACCCTCGAGAAGGAACTCACAACCTCACGGTAAGAAGTGATGAAGAGGGTAGATAAGGTTAAGAGCAACGTACCTTGATATAGCTGCCCCCAACCACAAATATTCTCACCGGATGACCTGATGGCGATTGCGATGACCAGTCACTGCATCGGCACAACCAGCATTATCTCGTCGTTCCACCTCAGCATCAATCAACCACCAGATAGTTCTCATCACACTGCGAACACCCAATATACGCACCGTAGCCTTCCTGGCGATTCCCCTCTCCTCCTGGGTCGCCACACCTTGTCTCCGCCCTCCTCACTACACACCACCTACGGCCTCGCTCACCAAGCAGACCGCATGTATGTACCGCATAGGCAGAAGACAAGCGCCAGATGAGCGTAATGTACCACAGCTCTGATACCAAATTGCAAGGGAGATGAGCGATAGCAAACTTCAGCAATCAAACAACATCATACACATAAGACCAGATAATCGTGACCTCGAACCAAAAGCAGAATTGCATCACGAGTTTCACCAAATAAGAGTACACCAGAAGCTCATAATTGACAATGCTGGAATAGTCTCATCATCATCATCAACGAAGAACCAATGTTGATATCCGATCTGGCGCTCGGTGCCCAGACTACAGATGGCAGATCCTATCTAGCCTAGACTACAATGCCGAAGATGACGACAACAGCTCTCCCTAAGTACGAGCAGATAGCGGCCAATGCCGCACGCTTCCATCACCAGGTATGTCTCTCGCATCACTCACAACCTCATTCCCCAACACACAGATGCCACATGCACCCAAGGACCACCCTGCGCCACACCCAGCTTACAGCAGCGCAGCTCGGCTATGGCTGCCTGCTCCTTCCTGCTCGCCCGTGAGCGCGTGAGCGCCAGCCAGCTTCAGCGCAGCAGCGCTTGCGCAGCATGCAGCCAGCACCCGAATACCAAATGCGGAGGCAGGTCCTTTGCTATATGGAAGTGGCCTGCCTGCCTTCTGTCCCAGGCTGCGCTGGGCCTTTCCCAAGAAGCTTCCGCTAGGCCCCGGTAGGCTGAGGCCCAGTCCAAACGAATCAGGCCCAGGGCCTGTGGTGGTTACTTGTGCCCAACTGTCCTCGGCCTGTGTTTGGGCCAATATCCCGTATCCAGCCCAGAGCCTGCTCCCATACATGCAAACAAGCGGCCTGGGCCTGGGTGCTCTTCAACCAACTGGCACTGCGCAACTGCCTGAATTTTCCACAGTTGCGTGGTGACTGAGATAGGGGCCCTCAGGCCCTCGTCGAGCCTGCCTTCACTTAGGGCGGCCTACGTGCCTCATAACAGGGCAAAAAGGGGCTCATCGGGGCCTTGGCCTCGCACATTCATGAAATATTAACAATTTAAATTTGCATTTTGAAACGGTTTTCACCTTTTGCAGCAGCAGATGAAGATCCCAAGGCTCGATCCCTACTCCTTACCCCACCGTGTACAGTACCTGTGTAGACCCCGAGAGTTGAACCCGTGACCTGTGTACTACTAAGCAACTGGTAGGCTGTCATAGGTCCGNACCCCACCGTGTACAGTACCTGTGTAGACCCCGAGAGTTGAACCCGTGACCTGTGTACTACTAAGCAACTGGTAGGCTGTCATAGGTCCGTAGGTCGTAGGGGTTAGCTCTGTAGGTCTGTCGAATAGAAGTCTTAGTGAAGTCGAGAAGTCTTAGCTGTAGCCTTCTAGAAGGTCGGCAAGTGGCCAAGTGGGCAAGTGGTGAGTCAAGTGGTGGACTGACTGCAGTGCGATTGCAGTACGACCTCAGTAGGTTAGCAGTGACTCCCAAGGCAGTCAGCGGTGCAGTCCAGACAGTCCCAGTCCAGTCCAGCAAGTACCATGAGGGACTGTGTGCACCATGGGCCAATAGAAAAGGGCATACCAACGAGCTGCAGAAGTATAAATCAAGAGGCAGCGCCCAGCCATTCATTCATTCCTGCGTGAGCCATGCGGAAGCGCTGTCCTAGTGACTTATGCAAGGAGGTCTGCAGTGAGCCCGAAGACGAAGTGGGCAGAGAGACGGAGTTTAGCCACAGCGATAGGGTAGAGGCGGCCACAGCCGCCATAGCTGTAGTTGGTGTTCAGTGTGTGTGTGTGTGTGAGTGTTCAGAGAGACGCGTGTGGGATATCCAGGGTGATCCAGTGTATGCGAACAGAGAGTTGTTTGGGGGCTGAGACGCCATAGCCATTAAAAGTGAACTCGTATCTGGGTTGCCATATCTCTGAGTTCTGAGTGGGCGCATGTTGCCAGTTTGCTGCGGTACTGTTTGCATGCATGTAAAGTGTGAATGAAAGCAAGTCTGATTGCATTGGTATCGGAGCTGGTACCCGCTGTTCCACGTGCCGCGTTGTGTGTCGCAGGAAGTGATGCGCCATAGCTGAGGTGGCCGACGAAGAAGTCCGCCATAGCGGACACCGAGGTTGAAGAAGCCGCTGCGCGTACCTGCAGAGAAGACCACGACGAAGAAGAAGACCGAGAGAGGAAGAGAGAGCGAGAGAGAGGGAGAGAGAAAGGTTGAGCAATACAAGATTGGCTTACCACGTTTCTGCGTTGAAGAGATCATTACGGCGCGCGCGCGCGCGCGCGAGAGAGAGAGAGAGAGAGAGAGAGAGAGAGAGATGAGCGATACAAGTTTGGTTGTCAATACCTGTGAAGTGCGCTTTGCAGTCCCACGAGGAGGAAGGAAGCTGCCATAGCCGTGAAGCTTGTACCACGGAGTGACGGAGGAGGAGGAAGGAGAGATGAAAAAAAAAAAAAGAAAAAAAAAAAAAGAGAGAGAAAGAGAAAAAAGACAGCAGGGTGAAAGGAGGGAAGGAAGGTGAAGAGAAGAAGAAGGTTGGTGAGGGAAGGAGAAGCCGGCAGCCATAGCCGACTGGAGAAGTTGACCGGGAGAGTTGACCTGGCGTTGACCGGATGTTGACCGGGGTTGACCAGGAGTTGACCGGAGGTGTTGATCGGCGTTGACCGGAGTTGACCAGGGGTTGACCGCAGCGTTGACCGGCGTTGACCAAGCCGTTGACCACGAGTTTGACCAAGCTGGAGTCGGTATAATCTCGCCAAGCCTTCAACCTATCCCTCGCCCTATGGATGTGCACACACCCTATGGTACTTGCTGAGTCAAGTCCGTCTGTCTATTCTTTCCGCATCGAGTCTCTTTTGTCCAGGTGATAGTACTCTGTGGATGAAGGATAGGCCTTGTTGACCAAACCCCTGCCGGACCAAGTAGGGCTAAAGACTGTGTCTGACGACTCAACTGTCCCGGAGGCCTAACCCTCCCAAGGACCGGTACAGACCGACGGGCTGCTCGGTGTGGCACGGTATGTCCGAAAGGATGAGTTGTGGGCTGCGCAACAGGCAGTCTAAGTGTTGAGAGACCTGCTGATCGCGTCGTCCTGTTTGCCACGTTAAATAATTCCCGAGGAGTTACGGGGGATCTCCTTAAATGCCTCCTGATCAGCAACAGGTCTAGTAGTGACAGCCTTAGAGTAGTAGGTCTAGGCTAGAGACTTGACAGGATCCCTGTCCGAATTCTGTGAGTCTTTAGATTGAGTCAGTCAGTTTGTAAGTCAGGGGTTAGAGTCTAAGTGGTGAGGTTTGGAACCGCTAATCCGGTTGTGCACTTATCACCATGGTTGACACCCGGAGTGGGAAGAGCACTAGCCCCTATACCCAGGAACAGCAAGAGAAGCTGGCCGCCTTAGTGAGAGAGAATAAGGAGAGGAAAGAGCTCCTGAAGCAGGCGAAGTTGAAAGCAATCGCAGAGGAGCAGGCGGCGAAAATGAAGAAACTGGAGGAGGAGATGGAGGAGAAGAAAAAGGCTGCCGAGGAAGAAGCAGCAGCAGAAGCAGAAGAGGAGAGAAGACGCAGGGAAGTAAAAGGGGAAAGTAGCGGCACGGCGAATGAGGATGCAGCAATGGAGAAGAAGATTAGTGAGTGGATTGCTAACTTATCGTTGGGGGAAGACGAGGAGGCACAACTATATGTGCCACAGGAGGAGAAGGAAGCGTTTGCCAGGGTGCTGGCAACAATTGAGGACCCCCTGGAACGGCAGGAGACAAAGGAGGAGAAGAAGTTGGAATGGAAGCTTGGGATGAAGAGGGAAAAGAAGAGGAGAAGGGAGGAAGTAAACCGGTTGACCACAGAGGTGGAAAAGGTGAGAGCCTGTAGACAAGAGGTGCAGGCGCAGGCAGATGTTTCTGCCAAGATGGATAAGATGTTGGGATACCTGGAAGTGTCGAGTGAGGCCTGGCTAGAGGAGCGCCAAGCCAATTGGGGTCACGATGTGGCCCTGAGCGCTATGCGGTCAGGTTTTAGAGACTTCGCTCGCGATATGGTTACCCACGTTGGGGCCGAAGTCATGCGATTAAGGGAAAACGTAGTAAAGTTCTGTGAAGGCGCCATTGAGAGTGCCAAAGCAGTAGCCGCTGTGGAGAGTGAGGCCAGGCCTCGTAAAGAGTCCGTCAAGCTTAAATTCCCAGATGTATATGGCGGGAAGGAGGAGGAGAATTTTGATAACAGGGAGGCGAGCGTAAATAGTTACGTGTACTTACAACACATCTTGACTGAGGAACAAGTCCTCGTCGCTTTCTAGGCCCTCAAAGATGAAGCGGCCAGCTTTGCCAAGTCCCTTGCGCGCACAGCCGGTTGTGAAAACAACCTGTTTGCATATTCTAAGATCACCCCCCTTCCTCAATTCTTCAAACTCCTGAGGGAGAGAGTTGCTGACCCAACGAGAGGCGTTAGAGCCTCTGACAAGTTACAGACCATCCACTCACGACAATGGAGGAGTGCAAGAGCACTCAAGGGCGTCATGGACGACTTGGTAGCCGCCCCAGACCATGGGGTCACTAAAACCCAGTTGGTCTAGTTATTTTATCGTGCCATGCCAGAGCCCTTGAGAGGGCATTTCTTTGAAAAGTCTCAACAGGCCGACATCACATATGATGTGTTGAGTAGAGAAGTGGTCCTGTTTGAGTCAAAGTCTATGCCAGTTTCCACTTTCTGGCATAAGGACTTGGATAAGGGAAAGAAGTGGAAAGGTCGTACCATCTCTGGCCAAGTCAAGGCCAAGGATCATATGATCCTTACTTTAGAGGAGGGTGGTACATACGAGGTCCCATATACTCAGATCGAGTGGGGCCTCAAGGATGAGGACAATACCATAGGGCAGGGGAGGTCCTATGCTGCTGTCGCGGCTGGAGAGAGGCCGCAAGGCAGAGGAGGAGGCCAGGGCCAAAGGGGCCAGGCCACGGGAGGCCGAGGACCAGGCGCACAAGGGGTTGGCGGACAAGGGAACCGCCAAGCGGGAGGTAGGGGTCAAGGTCCCCCGCTGAATCGTCAAGGTTCTAGTCGGTCCCCGCAGCGACGAGGTGGAAGGCCACCTCAACAGTCAGGAGGATGGCACCCAAGTTTGCCGCAGGGCAGGCCATGGGAAGATTTGGGCTTGGACCAACGCGTATGGCAGGAACGCGTGGACTTGGGTCAGTGCGTGTTTTGTGGTGACCCGACCCATGTAATTAAATTTTGTCCTTAGTATAGACAGGGCCGATGGGCTGCCCAACAGTCAAAAGGCAGCCGCCAATAGGGGTCGCAACTGCCCCTACTGTAAGGCCATGTGGGGAACCGAGCGCGCGCGAACAGGAAACTCCCAAACCACATGAGCCTGTGGAAGCTGCAGGCCAGTGCCTAGCTAGCTTTCCAGAGACTGCTTGTGTTAGCGTCTCTCTAGGCACTTCCCTCACAGCTGTGGCAGAAGAGTTGAAGGAGAGAATGCCTGCCTGGGCCAAAATGAAGAAAGAGAGTAAAGGACAACTGATCTTAGTTGATGTAGAAGTTTTCAGGAGTAGAGTAGGGGCCCTTATAGATTCAGGGGCTACCCATAGTTATATTAGCCATAGAGCGCTGAAGAAGCTGAGACTAGGATTAAAAGTCCAAAAGTTGACAGACCCCATAGTCAGTTTCCTCGCAGACAACCGCACGATGCGTGTTGAGGACTACGTAGAGGGAGTCCAGGCGTATTTTCGCCTAGAGAAAGATGGGAAGGTGGAGAAAGTCCTCCATTCCCTAACTCTCCTCGTGCAGGATGACCTCCCTTTTGACATAGTGCTAGGAATGGATTGGTGAGAGGCAGCAGGGGCCACACTCCACTTGAGAGAGCATGAGTGTAGGCTCCCTAGTCCGTCAGGCGAGGTTAAGACTGCCCGCCTATTTCATGTGTCAGGTGTAGACAATACTCTGGCACATTGCTGTCTCAGTGCTCCCGCGTTCGCGCGACTAGTGAAAAAGGAGCAATTGGAGGACCAGGTCTTCGTAGTATATGTCAGACATGTCACTAAGCCTAAGGAAGGGGATAGTTCCACGGATCCAACCATTGCCAAGCTGCTGGGGGAATTCAAAGATTTGACCGAGTCGCCGAAAGGAGTAGTGTCGCGACCGATCCAGCATAGGATAGAGATAGAGCCTAGCAGCAGAACTCCTAAGGGAGCAATCTACAGGATGTCCCCTAGTGAATTAGAGGAGCTGCGCAAGCAGTTGGATGAGCTCCTCGAGAAAGGTTGGATCAGGCCCAGTTTGTCTCCCTTTGGAGCACCTGTTTTGTTTGTCCCCAAAAAGGAAGGAGAGTTGCGTATGTGCATAGACTATAGGGGTCTGAATGCGATTACTGTGAAGAATGTTGAGCCGCTGCCCAGGATAGACGATCTCCTAGATCGGGTGCAGGGTTGCAAGTATTTCCCAAAAATAGATTTGAAGTCCGGTTATCATCAGATAAAGGTCCATCCTGATGACCAGTATAAGACTGCGTTCCGGACTAGATATGGGCACTATGAGTTTCTAGTGATGCCCTTTGGACTGACCAACGCGCCAGCTACGTTTCAGCGATGTATGAACGATCTGTTTAGGCCGTGGTTAGACAAGTTTGTGGTAGTCTATTTAGATGATATATTAGTATTCAGCAGGACCCTCCAAAAGCATCAGGGTCATTTGAGGCAGGTCTTGGAGAAGCTGAGGGAGGCTAAATTCAAGATCAACCCAATGAAGTGCGAGTGGGCCAAGACACAGGTTTTGTACTTGGGCCACGTGTTAGACGGAGATGGCATTAAGCCAGAGGATAGCAAGATAGCGGCAATTAGAGATTGGTCGACGCCCCGCACGTTGACTTAATTGCGATCGTTCCTAGGCCTAGCTAATTACTACAGGAAGCTCGTGAAGAACTTCTCGACTATCACCACTCCCCTTCGCCGGTTGCTAAGGAAAGAGGTAATCTGGCAATGGGACAAAGACTGTACGTCTGCGCTAAAGAAGTTAAAGCGCGCGTTGATAGAATATCCTGTCCTCAAAGTAGCTGATCTGTCTTTGCCATTTGTCGTCACCACGGACGCGAGTCAATATGGTATAGGCGCCGTGTTGCCGCAAGATGACGACAGTGGCTACAGACCCGTAGAGTTCATGTCAGCGAGGATGCCTTCAGAGAAAGTAGCCACCTCGACATATGAGAGAGAACTCTACGCTCTCAGGCAGGCCTTAGAGCAGTGGAAGCATTACCTGCTTGGGAGGCACTTCAAAGTGTACTCAGAGCACGAAACTCTCAGATGGTTAAAGACCCAGGCCAAAATGACACCTAAGTTGACTAGGTGGGCCGCTGAGATAGACCAATATGACTTTGAGCTCAAACCAGTCAAGGGCAAGTACAATGTAGTTGCGGATGCTCTAAGTAGGAGATTAGACTACTTTGGAGCTATAGTACACTATCTGGATATAGGGAAGGACCTGCAAGAGAAAGTTAGACAGACAGACATATGCGCATGACCCTATCTATAGTGACCTCCTCAAGAGAGTTAAGGAGGCCCCAGAGACCGAACCGCACTACCGCACTATTGAGGGACTATTGTTTGAGAAGACTGATGTAGTAGACCGCCTGTGCGTCCCCAACAGTGAGGAGATCAGTAGTTTGATCCTAGGGGAATGCCACGATACAGAGGGACACTTTGGTTGGCAAAAGACTTTAGCCAATCTGATGCGTGCGTATACCTGGCCAGGAATGAAAGATGACTGCATAGAGTATGTTCGCAGTTGCAAAGTTTGCCAGAGGAACAAGACCATAACGCGTGCCCCTCTAGGTCTTCTCATACCCTTGCCTATTCTAGACCAGCTTGGAGATTTAGTCTCCACTGACTTTATGGATCCCAGTTGATAGTTGATAGATTAAGTAAATATGCAGTTTTTGTTCCTTTGCCTGCAGAGGCACGTACGGAGTTAGTCATTCAGAAGTTTTTTTATCATTGGATTAGTGATCACGGGGTTCCGCTGTCTATAGTTAGTGATAGAGACACCAGATTCACAATTCAGAACTGGCAGGAACTAATGAGAGTCTATGGATCAAAGTTGCTGATGTCATCTAGCCGTCATCCAGAGACTAACGGTCAGACAGAACAGATGAACAAGATCCTGCAGCAAGTTCTGCACATGTATATTAGACCGGATCAAGTCAATTGGGACGAGATGTTGCCCAAGGTAGCTAGCGCATACAATAACAGCGTGCATTTGTCTACCTATCGCACTCCCAACAACTTGCACAAGTCCTTTAGACCCGCAGACCGTTTGAGGGACTTACCCGGGATCAGATTCACAGGCTACCGCCCAGAACCAGGGAGTTTGCGATACAGCACGAGAGAGAGTTAGCTACAGTTGTTGAAAACCTCAAGAAGGCCTAACAACGAATGATAGAACAGGCAAATAAGCACCGTCGCCCGACGCAGTTTCAAGTAGCCGACTTAGTCTGGGTCAAATCCAAAGAGTTTGCTCCTGAGGAGAACACTTCGCAGAAGTTACTGCCAGCGTATAGAGGACCGTGGCCAGTTCTAGAAGTCAAGGGCGGAGAGGATGGGTCGTCCTACACAATAGAGATTCCAGCACACCTCCACACCTATCCTGTATTCCATGCATCAAAGCTATTGCCGTGTGTCACAAGTCAAGAGTTCCCTTCAAGAAGATCCATGATCCCTCCGGATATGGATGGAAGATATGACATTGATGGCATTGTAGATGAAGATGTGTTTAGGACAGGAGGTAGAGCTCGTCCACAGAAACAGTATAAGGTCCGGTTTGCGCACCAGGAACCGGAAGACGACCACTGGTTTACTAGAACATAACTTCTAGAAACAGCTCCCGACATAGTCAGAGCCAATGAGCGTGATAAGAAGAGTAAAGGTCCTGCCTTGGACTAACATATTCTCGGAGGACCTCGAATTTAGGACGGCGGGAGTGAAACGGTTTTCAACTTTTGCAGTAGCAGATGCAGATCCCAAGGCTCGATCCCTAGTCCTTACCCCACCGTGTACAGTACCTGTGTAGACCCCGAGAGTTGAACCCGTGACCTGTGTACTACTAAGCAACTGGTAGGCTGTCATAGGTCCGTAGGTTGTAGGGGTTCGATCTGTAGGTCTGTCGAATAAAAGTCTTAGTGAAGTCGAGAAGTCTTAGTTGTAGCCTTCTAGAAGGTCGGCAAGTGGCCAAGTGGGCAAGTGGTGAGTCAAGTGGTGGACTAACTGCAGTGCGATTGCAGTACGACCTCAGTAGGTTAGCAGTGAGTCCCTAAGCAGTCAGCGGTGCAGTCCAGACAGTCCCAGTCCAGTCCAGCAAGTACCATGAGGGACTGTGTGCACCATGGGCCGATGGAAAAGGGCAGACCAACGAGCTGCAGAAGTATAAATCAAGAGGCAGCGCCCAACCATTCATTCATTCCTGCGTGAGCCATGCGGAACCGCTGTCCTAGCGACTTGTGCAAGGAGGTCTGCAGTGAGCCCGAAGACGAAGTGGGCAGAGAGACAGGAGTTTAGCCATAGCGATAGGGTAGAGGCGGCCACAACCGCCATAGCTGTAGTTGGTGTTCAGTATGTGTGTGTGTGTGTGTTCAGAGAGACGCGTGTGGGATATCCAGGGCGATCCAGTGTATGCGAACAAAAAGTTGTTTGGGCGCTGAGACACCATAGCCATTAAAAGTGAACTCGTATCTGGGTTGCCATATCTCTGAGTTATGAGTGGGCGCATGTTGCCAGTTTGCTGCGCTACTGTTTGCATGCATGTGAAGTGTGAATGAAAGCAATTTAATCCATTAAATAAATTTTAAATTCAAATAAATATTTTCTAAAAGTCATTTCTATTTTAAATTTTGATTATTTTTTTTTTTTACTTTTCGAAAATCCTGAATTCCGAAATTCAATTAATTTCATTCCTTTTTTCTGTAAAATCTTCATCTTAAATTTTAATTTTCTCGAATTAATTTATTGCGGGCATTTTTGCCGAATTAAATTGATTCCCATAACCTGCCTCCACATAAATCCCCAAATTCCTTTTATCTTTTCCTTTTTCAAAAAAAAAAAAATTCCTCCTTCTTGAAATTTATTTAATTCTTTTTAGATATTTTGTAAATTCGAAAATTTTTTTCTTCTTTGGGAAACCTTGGCAATTATCTTTATTTATTGATAAATAAATCAGAACCCCTCCCCCTCCCCCGAATCTCCACATGCCACCACGCAACACCAAGAACTCCCAACGCGCCGCTGCCGCCGCCACCGCTGCTGCTGCATCCTCCACATCCGTTCCGGCCGCGTCCTCCACCCCCTCTTCCCCTGACATGGTTGCATCCTCCATCAACATGTCTGACATCCGCACCGACTCGGTCGATAGCATCGCCCGCAACCTCGCAGGCGAACAACCACCAGCAAACACCGCCACCTCCGACCTCTCCGCCATCCTCCACGCACTCAACACCTTCCAAACCTCTTTGGACGACATAAAGGCCACCGTGTTGTCCATATCCGACCGCGTCACCACGCTCGAAGGGACCACCCCCCCCATCACGATCGTCACCACCACCACACACCCCTCCACACCCCAACCCACCCCCTCCTCCGGACAAGCCTCTGCTTCAACCTCCACACCAACACCGTCCACCTGTACACCCCCATCCTCATCCACCACTATCTCCACCATGGTCGCTCCACCTCCCCCCTCGCCCAAGACGACAACCTCTGCTGTCACACAGTCATCAATCGTCCCTCCCCAATCAAAACCGCTCATATCCACCTCCACTATTACCTCAACCATCCCCAACTATACCCAGATCATTCCACAAGCTGTGTATCCCGCTTCTCCACTACTTCCCCCAAATGCTCTCATCCCCACCAACCCCGCCAATGATTTCACCCTGTTCGGCTCTCCCTCTCCCACCCTTGATTGCAACACCCTTGCCACCATTAACCCCAGAGAAGGCAAAATCCCCCCATCATTCCGCGTCAACGAAATCCCCACCTTCTCGGGCCAACCCCATGAGGATGTCCTCCTCTTTCTCACCAAACTCCAACAAGCCTTCTCCCTCCACGACATCCCCGTCATCCACTGGCTCCCCATAGCTGGCGGTCGACTTTTGGACAACGCTGCTCGCTGGTGGTACACCGAAATGTCTAATCGCCATCAAGCCGGTCTCCGGCCTCACACCCTCCTTGAGTGGGCCCCCCTCATCACCTCCACCTTCCGCCCATAGAAAACGGGCGACGACTATATCGACCAATTCCGTCGGCTCCAACAAACCGGACCAACCCGACCGTTTTGTGCAGTACGTCCGCTCGCTTCGTCAACATATCCCCTTTGACGTCATCAACGATTTCGCTTTCATCTCCCGCGTTAAGCGTGTTTGCGGCAAAGACCTGGCGGCCGCCCTTGTCCACGAGGCCCCCATGACCCTCGCCGACCTCCTCACTCGTACCCTCCAACTCGACCGCATCCTCTCCCCCTACAAGACTGCACCTACATCGGCCCCTCCGCCGACGAACTCTCTGCCATTCACCTCATGCGAATGGAAAAAAGAGATCGCTCCAGCCGCCATTCCCCGACCACCCCCCGGGGCCGCCTCAAGAAACTCACACCCGAGGAAAGAGCCTACCTTCAGGCAAAGGGTGGATGTTTCAGTTGTCGCCAGTTAGGACACCAACAAACTAACTGCCCCAATGTTGGACAGTTCACCCGCCAATCATCAGCCCATCGACCCACAACCTCCGTGTCACCCCCCTCCGCAGGCGTGGGTCCCTCCTCTTCCTGAACACAGTCCCCAGGACCTCGTCCCGGCATCGACAACTCGTCTGTCGGCCAACCCGCCGGTGACATCCCCCGCCCCACCGACGGCCCATTTGACATCGACCATCCGTCTGCTTCCCCCCTCCTCGGTGACACCCTCTCCATCGGATGACCCCGAGGCGTCGCAACCTTCATCACTTGAGACGCCCCTCACTGCTTCGTGCTCCTCCACCCTCCTTCCAAATCCATCCTCTGTCACCTTCTCCGATGTTGTTGAGGAACAAGCTCGACTCGATCGGCTTGTCCGATTAGGCAACGAACAACGTTGCCTCAACACCATTATCTCCACCGCCAACTCATCCGGTTTCCACCTCAAATTCATCGCCGCCACCCTTGGTGCGTCTACCACTAAGTTTCAGGCCCTCCTCGACATAGGAGCCACTGGTAACTTCATCACCGACGCGTGTGTCCAGAAAGCCGGTCTTACCTCTACCGGTTACGACTCCCCGATTACGATCCGTCTAGGGGACAAAGACACCGCCGTCGTAGTGGACCGCACGGTTCCCGAGACCACCATGACAGTAGGAACCCTCCGCAGTCAGGTCTCATTTGATGTCATGCATGTGCGACATCGTCTTAGGAACACTATGGTTTGACCGCTACATGCCATACGCATTCCACCCCAACTTCCTCTGCCTCACCAACCCCCCCGACACAACCATCGACATTCCCTATCTCCCATATCCGACCTCCCAAGGCTCCGTTGCCCCACATCAATTCCTCCACATGGCCCGCATGAACCCCGACTCCGCCTACTATTGCCTTGCCCTTGACCGCGAAAGTCCTGAGGACTTACTCCCAACGGACAAACCCGATCAAGCCCCCCCCTCTGACCCCACCCTCACCTCTATCCTCGACGAGTTCAAGGACGTCTTCCCTGAGTCCCTGCCTGCCGGATTACCTCCGGATCGTGGCATATCCCATACCATCGATTTGGAGCCCGAACATTCTCCACCTTGCCACCCTCCATACCAACTCTCGGTTCCCGAAGCCGAAGAAATGAGGCGGCAACTCAATGAGCTCCTTGAAAAAAGGTTCATTAAGCCGAGTTCATCTCCCTTCGGTACTAGCTGCCTTTTTGTAAAAAAAGGTGGAACTTCGGAACTCCGCATGTGCACAGACTACCGTGCCTTGAACCGGATCACGATCAAGAACAAGTACCCCTTACCTCGGATCTCCGAGCTCCTTGACCGACTTCGTGGAGCCAAATATTTCACCAAGATTGACCTTCGTAATGGCTTCCACCAGATCCGTATCCGCGAGGAGGACACCCATAAGACAGCATTCCGCTCTCGGTTCGGGCACTATGAGTTCCTCGTAATGCCTTCCGGACTCACCAATGCCCCCGCCACATCCGAGTCCACCATGAATCACATCTTTCGTGACCTCCTCGAAGTCTGTGTCGTCGTGTACCTTGATGATATCCTCATCTTTAGCCCCACCTTCGAGTCCCACCTCAAGCATATTCGCCAAGTCCTCTCGATCCTCCGAGAGCAGAAATTCTACGCCAAGCTCAGCAAATGGACGTTTGCCGCTTCGAGCGTCGAATACCTCGGCCACATTCCGTATGGATCCCTCGAAGGTCATAGCCCTTGTCGAGTACCAGCCGCCCAAGACCCTCCTCCAACTCCGTTCCTTCCTCGGCCTTGCCAACTATTACCACCTGTTCATTCGCAACTTTTCTGAGATCTTTTACCCTCTCCACGAACTCACACGCAAGGACGAGCCCTTCAATTGGAACGACCGCCGCCAAAACGCTTTCGACTTACTCAAGCAAACCATCACCACGGCCCCTATCCTCAAGATCGTCGACCCCACTCGCCACTTTTATGTCACCACTGACGCCTCTGACTTCGCCATTGGCACCGTACTGTCCCAACATTTCCCTCGTGACACCGCTGACACCCCCTCCATCAAGAACTCCCCCACTCACCCCGAGACTCCACCCGACAAATACCACATCGCCTTCGCTAGCAAGACGGGCAATACTCCTCCAAGAAGCTCCTTCCCGCGGAGATGGATTACCCCAAGAAGGAACTCCTCGCCGTGATTCACGCCCTCACAGTCTGGCGCCCGTACCTCGACGGGCAATACTTCACCATCCGCACTGACAACACCATCGTCGCCTCCATCCTCTCCAAGAAAGATATCACTCCACGCCAAGCCCGCTGGCTAGACTTCCTTGCCAATTCACATTCACCATTTGCCCTCTCTCGACGACCCGACCACAAGCCCCCCGAGAAAGTCTACGCCACCATGACGCATATCCAACTCCTCCCATCACTCCATCACCGATACACCCAAGGCTACCTCTCTTGCCCAGACTTCGCCACCATCTACAACAAGCTCCACAATCTTGACCTGGTCCCCGACTACTCCCTTCACGACATACCAAAGACACTCGCCGACTTCGCATCCCTGATGCACGTGGTCTCCGTACTCAACTCTTGGCTGAGCACCACGACGCCAAGACCGCAGGACACCTCGGTTTCAAAAAAACCTTCGACATCATCTCCCGCTACTTCTACTGGCCTTCCCTGCTCGCCGACGTCAAAGCATACATTTGCTCGTGCCCCACGAGTCAAGTTGTCAACCTCTCGAACCGGGCCAAACTCGGCAAGCTCCAATCATTGCCCATCCCAACTCACCAGTGGCAGTCCATCTCCATGGATTTCGTATGCGGCCTTCCCAAGACCGACCGCGGGCATGATTGCATCTACGTCATTGTCTGCCACTTGACCAAACGTGCCCACTTCATCCCTTGCACGACCTCGCACAGTGCCAAAGACGTCGCCACACTCTTCTTCGACCACGTTGCTCGCCATCACGGCCTCCCCGAGAACATAATCAGTGACTGTGATCCTCGCTTTCTCTCACAATTCTGGAAACACCTTTTCACGGCCTATGGAACCACACTCAAGTATAGCACTGCATTCCATCCACAGACCGATGGACAAATAGAGAAGATGAACGATACTCTCCAAATAATCTTGCGGAAGCATTGTCATCCTCATCAACACGATTGGGATCAGTTGCTCACAGCCGCCGAGATTGCCTACAACAACGTCGTCTGCCCTTCCACCGACATGTCTCCATTCTACCTCGATCTTGGCTACCACCCTCGCTTGCCCTCTGACTTCTTGCTTCCTTTGCAGCTTAACCCATCCACCCCCTGCCCCTCTCTCAATGAATGGGTAGCAACAATGAACAGACTCCCGAGAGAAGCCTCTGAAGCCATTGAACGAACCCAAGAACAACAAGCCAACACAACTAACAAACATAGACGCAACGTGTCATTCAAAGTAGGGGACAAAGTCTGGCTCTCCGCCAAACGCTTTGAACCCGAACACGGCTTGTCCAAGAAACTCTCCAACAAATGGCTCAGTCCCTTCCCCATCATTGAACAAACCTCCCCCGTCAACTACAAACTCTAACTTCCCCCTGCCATGAGTCGTGTCCACCCAGTCTTCTATGTCGAGTACCTAAAAGAATACCATGAATCCCCGCCCCAGTTCGCCGACCGCCCATATCCTAGACCTCCACCAATCATGCTACCCACAGACCCTGAATTCGTTGTCGAAACCATCATCGGCCGACGAACTACTTAGGTATCTGACCATCCAGAACCAACCACTGAATACAAAGTCAAATGGACCGGATACCCCGACGAAGCATCTACATGGGAACCTCTCTCTAATCTTAAGAACGCCATGAAACTTGTCCACGTCTATGATCGTGCTAATCCTATGTTCTAGATACCTATATAGCTGTGGCATAAACCCCCGCTAAAAACCCTTGCAACCCTGCTCTACACACACCCTTGAACCCAGCCACCCTCCCCTTGACCCTGATTCCTGATGTCTGATCTGCCCTTACCTTCGCCTAGCCTTGTCCCATCTGTCCTCTCCACTACCTTGTCTCTCTTGTCCAATGCTTGTGGACCTGCGTGACGCCGGCAATAAAGGATCTAATGGCAAGCGCACGAGGACGATGGCCTGTTGCCTCACTGTTCATGGAGATTATGCAGCTGGTTTAGCCACCATGTTGTTTCATCGGTCGGCATCGCGACTCGCAGACTTACTGGAGCAGCAACTTGTGACATGGATCTTTGCATCAGTCTGCGACTTCCTTGCTTCCAGATCAGACCTCATTGCATTTCGTGTACCGAACGCACCCTAGCACTTGGACTTTGACATTTGAACTACTACTACGCTTCTTGGACGTTTACCTGTCTCAGCCACGGAAGACCATTTCTACCACCTACTCCAAAGACCTGATCAAGACTGCCGCAGACCCCCTTTCATGACACTTGGACACCTTGTTCCTACCTGAGATTCTGCTTCCGACCCCTTCGGACACACCAGCCCTTGCATCCTGAACAAACATTTTCATTTTTATTTTTCCTGACTTTGACAACCCTGTAGAACATCATTAGCAGATCCCTGATTCCCAAACCATTGTTCCTGTACCCACTAGAACATCAATAGACATTCCCTATTCTCCCTGACCATTGTTTCCCTTACCCACTAGAACATCAATAGAAATACCCTGTTTTCAAACACACTGTTTCCCTTACCCAGTACAACATCAATAGAAGTTCCCTGTTCCCTGACCTTTGTTCCCCCTTAACTTATAGCAAACCATGCAGTCCCCTTAGTTCATCACTAAGACAACCCTGTTCACCTGTACCAAACCCTGTCCCCTCTTACTCCCGCAACCCATGCCACCCACATTATACCCCTATTCCCTTTCGACTTGTTAACCAGTGACCGGCCTCGTCCCGTCCTTCACAGATTTCAACATTGCTTCATGATTTTTGGCAGCCGGGACGTTGGCTTCTAGAGGGAGGGGATAGTGTTACGGACTCCACCAGGGCTCGATCCTTGGTCTATCCTTTTGCTGTTTCGGCTGCATCCCGTTTTGGGCCTGGCACCCTTTTTCCAAACCCCTCCTTTGGTACCGTAGGATTTTGGACAACTGGCGCCATGCTGCAATTCGGGCGCCACTTTCAAATACYGCATTTTTCAGTTCTGCCCTCAGGGCCTTTGCAGAAATGCCCCTAGTACCGTACGTGTCACCAATACTTATACCGGCTCCCCGTACAGTACGGGGACCAGTCTCGTACCAGTTTTTTGTTGCTGTACTTGTGCTTCGGTGTGACTTGCTTCGACATTGTGTTTGAAAATCCAAGACTTCGGCTTTGCGACTTTGCCACTTCGTGTCTACGTCCGTCGAGTCGTGTCGAGTCTGCGTCGAGTTGAGTGAGTGTGTGTGTGTGCTCTCACTCTCTCCCTCTCTCTCCCAGCCTCGTTGCCTCAGCCCCGTCACACCTATAGTCAATGCACATCCTTAACGTACCCCCCTTCTTTAGGACAAATAGAACTGGCGCATCGTAAGGGGAGGTACTAGGCCGAATCCAGCCCTTCTTTGTGAGCTCCTTCAACTGGCGGCGAAGCTCATCTAACTTTGCAGGAGACATCCTATAGATTCATCCTTCAGGTACTTTGCTTTCGGTGACAATTTCTATTGCATGGACAATCTCCCTTTCCACCACACCTTTAGGCTCCTCGAAAAGATTTGAATATGTGCAACAACTGCTTCTATCTTTGGGGGTGATTTTACAGCCTTCCCTTTCTCAGAGACAAGGACTAGGTACATTCCCTCCTCTAGGTTCTGCTTGTAGTAATTATAGAAAGACGACACACACATGCAACCATAGTTCTCCACTAGTCTGCTAGCCTTGAACTTTTGGAGCCTAACGGTCCAACCTTCCTATCCCAATCAAACTGAGGCTTAGCAACTGGGAGGTAGTACATGCCTAGTAACATGTCAAATGGCAGCTCGTCGCTAACAAGGAATGATATTTTTTGTCTCAGTCCCCCTCCTCCGTAGGAGAAAGTACAAACTACATCCTTGACATAGTCCTTTACTACCATAGAGTGCTTGTTGGCTAAAGTAGATGCCACAAATCTGCTAAGTCGCTGCACTTGTTCCCCTAAGAGCAGCCTATCCACAGAAACACGACTGATGAAGTTTTGCATAGAACCTATGTCTGCAAAGGCGCCAACCTTTCGGCCACCTACATTGACTTCTACCACGAATTATTCACCTTTTGGACCTTTGTTCAACATCGCCCAAAAGTTTCTAGGGTCTTTCTTTAACCACTCAGTTTCTAACTCCTCTAAGGACTCGGTCACATCCATCGAACAGAGCATCGATTGGTCTAGATCTGTCTGCGGGGCGATCAATGGGTCAATAGCCTTGGCCTTCGTCTGAAATGGAGAAGGTAAGGTTACCACTTAAGCACAAGTAAGAGCGGCTAACACTCCTACTGGCCCGAGGTGTTTCACTGCGAGGTGCTTGCAGAATCACCACCAGAGTTTGAAGATCCCACCGTCACGATTGAGGACGCGACCTTCATGGCGACCCGCTTACTCTTACACTTAGCCATGGTGTGACCATACTGGCCACAGTTCAGGCAAGCGCCTCGTGCAACGGGGTCTCGCCATACCTCATACTCTAGACCAAGTTCTACCCATACGAGTGTACCTTGGTCATATTGACTCTTAGGCCGGCCTGCCTTCTATTTTCCGGCCCCTTTAGTCTTTCCTTGACAGGAGCGACCACTCCACCATTTGAAGTGTCTCCACCCCCATCCAACTTTGTTCCTTCCCCAAGGCCGGAGAAGCCCTTAATCTCAGTCGCTTGACCGTCATGGTCACGCAACATGAGGTTGCCCTTCTTCTTCCAATCTTGAGGGAGCTTCTTCTTTCTCCCATCTACCAGTCCCTGCTGGACACTCCCAAGCCTAGCCTCAATGTTTAAGGCCTTCTTGCTGAATGAAGCAAAGTCGTGCATGTCGATGGATGCCTCAGCGACCAACTTATTTTTGATGTCTGTAGGCAGACATCGCAAGTAAGTTGTCAAGAGCACTTGGGGGTTCGTACCGCACACCGGGAACCACGATCAATCGCTCTACGACGTCCATTACTTCCCGTATTGTCTGGTATCTCTTTGATCCCAGACTAGCCAGAGAGTCGGTGGCCTTCTGAGCCCCTTCGGGGTCAAGCCACTTGCTATAGACTAATTGTACGAACTCCTCCAATGATCTGGCCTATCCCCAACCATCGAAATTCTGACCGTAGCCCTGCTGCTGTACACCATCTGGCTGCAGATCCTTTTAAAAAGGACACAACGACAATGACTTCCTCCTCTGTCCTAGTGAGTTTATGCCTTACAAAAGGCATAGTTCTCACCCACATATCCAGGTCCTCTTCCTTCTTCTTGTCGCCAGAGAAGGGTTTAGGACTCAACAAGGGTATCTTGGGTGTCCACTGCATGGGTGGTACAACTCCTTATGCCTACTGCATCGGTTGTGAAACCGGTGGGACAGGTCATTGTGGCGGCAATTGCTGCAGTTGTTGTTGCTGCGGGCCCTGTTGCAAAGGTTGTTGTACTTGTGGCTGCCCTGTAGCGGCAATCACTGGTTGGGGAAATGAAGAAGGTTGTACAAGAATCTGCCCATTACTACCTACTACTAGACCACTTGATAGGGGCATGCCGAACTGAGGAGAAAAGGGTTGCCCTAACGGCTGTGGTGTCACAGTGGGACCTGCAACCGGATGGGGAGCTACCACATATTGTGGCTGCCTGACATGAGGTTGTGGCGCCGACAGTGTGGTCAAAATCTGATTCTCACCCGCTATCAGTGTAGCTAACATCTCTTGCTGCACAACCTGTACCTCGGCTACACACAGTAGTGACCTCCAAAGGGACCGCATTACAGGATCGAGAGTTCACTCATCTATAGCTTCTAGCTTGCCTAACTCCTCTCCCCTTGCCTCTAGTGTATCCTTTCTAAGTCTAACCCTATCTCTCCTCTCATCTACCTCTTGCAACTGGCGCTGTAACTCAATGCGGAGGGCTTCCACCTATTGAATCTTGTAATCCTCATCTGACATGGACTGCTGCTGGCTGACCTGCAAGCCAACAGACTGACTAACGAAAACTTGGGAGACACTCTGACCGACACCTGACGAAGAGGCCTGAGATGAGGCCTGTGACATGGTAGAGGCGGTAGCCATGGCTGCCTCGGCGTTGGCTCTAGCGCCTGCTGCTAGTGCTGCTGCTTCCCTAGCCCTACGCAATGCTGTCCTCTCTCTCGCTTCCCGCCGTAGCCTCCTTTCCTCTCCTTGATCTAACTCAAGGAAGGTGATCGGTCCACTGAGTGCCCACCTTCTAGTGATCCTCCTATCGTCTTCTTCTTGCCTATCAATCTCACTGTCATGGTCTACGATCTGCACTGGCGTCCTCGGGCGGTAACAGCAGATAATCTCAGATTCCTACAAACAACTTTTTATTCCTAATTTTGACTAGTCTGAGACAGATTGCAATGCAGCAAGGAATGTATCCTACCTATCTACAGTTGTCTGTCATTGTTAGCAGTGTCTGTCACAACTAACTAATCAAAAATAAAATAAAATTATTTGCTAGTTGTGCATGAAGAATGGAATTTTACAATAATAACTAAGTGAAATGTTTACTGGTATCTTCCCTCCCCCTGCATCCTTCTTGAGTAGTCACTTAGTGTCAACGTCCTGCGCATCTGGTTGAGCAGAGTGTCTGAAGGTGTGCAATCCGGCCCACCCCTGTGCCCCAAGTCTATGCTAAGCCAGCAAGCCCTGCAATTTTCTTTATCCTCGCATGCAACGAGCCTTCCATCCGATTGATCTGGCTGATCAAGAGGCAATTTAAGGACAACCCCCAAGGTCCTGAAAAATTATTTAAATCGCAGACATGACGATGATCACAGCCAGGATTCAATTCGAATCCGCCAGAAATATTTATAGACGGTCTGGTATGCGTCTCATGTAGGACTGGCCTGCCCAACACGACCTCTATCAGCGCAGCAAGCAGAACCAAGGACTTGCGGCAAAGCATGCGTGCACTAGTCCCAGCGGGTTGGCATGGTGACCGTGCCCCGAGTGCTTCGTCCAGGGCCCTTCAGAGGCTTCGGCCATCTCCCAGGAAGAATGTCGACTCTCAAGGTTGAGCGCTCGCGACACCTCACATTGAGAGGACTCTCAAGACAGAACTCACTTCCTCACGGTAAGAAGCAATGAAGAGGGAAGATGAGGATGACAGCAACGTGCCTCATAATGCTGCCCCCAATAGCAGATTTCTCACCGGCAACCTGACGTGCATTTAAGATGACCGGTCGATGCCTCGCCACAACGCACAATGCAATGCAGTTCCACTTGGCTTAAATTGCCACGTCAGCAAGCTCTCATCATCCTGCGTGCACCCCTATGTTGCCACATAGCCTTCCTGGCGCGCCCACACACCAATGCACAAGTGTTATCACTGCCCCACCACTATCCAGCGAAGCACCAAACAGCTATTGCGAAGACCGCCAGCAGAGCGGTTCAAACCAGCTCCGATACCAAATTGCAAGGAAAATGGGCAACAGCGAAATGACAGGTTTCAGATTGCAAAATCACATTGAAAGCCAGGAAGTCCGACACTGTCCGGAAAGCAGAATTGCACCGATATTACACCAATGGAGAACCAAAACACTGAACCCAAGTGTCAATGAGAGCATACTCTTGCCATCACCAACATAAGTATCCAGAGCCCTTTCTCCTACTTGGCGCTTAGCGCCCAGACTACGATCGCACAGCTACTACTAGCCTACGAATTGACAATGCAACTGTTCACGTCAGCAGCAGAACCGAAGTACTTGAAGATGTCGACCCTTGTAGACTATCGCCAAGACCAGGTACGTGCCCTCACATCATTATCCTCATCTCTCTCTCTCTCTCTCTCTCTCTCTCTCTCTCTCTCTCTCTCTCTCTCTCTCTCTCTCNCTCTCTCTCTCTCTCTCTCTCTCTCTCTCTCTCTCTCTCTCGTCTTCTCTACCCACAACTCCTTCCCATACACGAAGACCACCACCACCTGCTGACCATCCAAGCCCGAAGCCCGGCTATGAAGGGCTGGGCTATGGCGCTGCCCTCAGCTAGCGCAGCAGCCCGCAAGCTAAAGCTCCAGCAGCGCTGCTGCACGTGCTTGCAAGTGCTCGAATGACTGCCCTTGCGCCCGACCCTTTCCTATATGGAAAGTGGCGGGCGCTCTGCCTTGCCCGTACCACGTGAGACCGAGTTGCTTAGTAGCTTCAGTCTCGGCCCAAGTGTCTGTGCCCAGGCCAGTTCAGATGGTGGCCTGGAACTGGATTGGTTAGGCATGCCCAACCACTCAGGTGCAAGCGGGCGATACTCACTGCTTTGATCATGTTGCCAGAAGAGCCTGGAAGGCTCACGAATATTGTGGATTCTCACGAGCAAGGCGGATGTAACCAATTGGCGCCTGGCAACTGTCTGGCGCCGACCAAGATTTGCAAAAATTGACAAGTTCAGAGGCCCGCCTTCACTTAGGGCGGGCACGTGCCTGGTGCAGGGGCTCATGCGGTATGCTGAGGGATCAAACCCTCGCACAGATCCTGATGTTAACTAGAAGAAAAAAACTTCTTAACTAAAAGTTGATTACACCACCACTACGTTCGAGGCTGTTTTCACTATTGTGCTGCGTGTCAAAATAAAACGAACCAGCACGGGGGAATTTTTTTCCTTTTTGGCTGGCGCCGCCAGTCATTTTTGTCCGGCAGCACGGTTCATCCAAAAGTTGCGCTGCATGCAAACTCACTCCATTTTCTGGCCCGGGGTAGAGAGCAAGAAGCATCCCGCCCATCCCTTGTCCTGCTGGAACTAGGGAGGGATTACCATACCTGGTTTCTCTGACTCAATACTGCAAGGAATATGAGCGAGAGCAATAGACAGAAAACCAAGTTGCAAAATCACAAAGTAGTCCAGATATACCAAGCAGAGAGCACAATGCACCAAGATTCCATCCAAATAAGAGCAATATAATGAACTCGAGTGTCAATGCCGATGCTCCCCGGTCACTCCAACACTGTTTCAAATGTCGCTCCTGCTCTACTCAGCCTATCTACCTATCTACGTTCTTGCAACAGGATCACATCGAAGTCGAAGACCAATGTACGTGACGTCAAGACCATTGCCGACCACCAACATACACCAGGTACGTTCTCTCTCTCCCCTCATCACACCTTGAACCCCACTCTGTGCATGCGCCTCCTGCCCGAAGACCACCATCGCCATCACCTGCTTGCGCCCCTGTAGCCTGGCTATGGCTGCTGTGCGACCGCTGCCTCAGCAGCGCCCCTCACCTCAGCGCCCGTGCGCGCATCCAACCAGCAGCGCCCATGCAGACACTAGCGCAGCAACGCAGCAGCGTGTCCTCATTGCTTGCCAAGGCCAGAATGCCGCATGGGGCACACACTTTCCTATATTGGAAAGTGTCCGCTGGCGGCTGGCCTGTCCAGGCGTGTGGGGGGCCCAGTAGCTTGCCTCTGCCCCCAAGTGTCTGCGCCCAGTCCCAGTTTCAGATACTGGCCTGGGCCTCGTGCAGTTAGGTGCGTCCAGGCAGCCACCCAGCCTCCAAGTGTTTGCAGCATTCTCATTGGCTTGCGGCATATGTGTGACGACAATGCTGCTTCCTCATTGGCCTGTAGCCAGTCCGTGATGTGTCAGCCTCACACAGCGTGTGCCCAAGGCGCAATCACCTGAGCCCTGGGCTCAACTGTACAGTGCAGCCTTTTTGCTTCTGGAAGAGCCTGGAGGCTCACGTTGCTCTGTAACCAACTGACGTACTGCAACTGTCCGAGTACCTACATTAGGAAAAATGTCGAAAACACAAAACAGGCCTCACGTGGATATTCAGGCCAGCCTTCACTTAGGGTCGGCACGGGCTTGCCAGGGGCCACAGCCCAGAACACTTGTATGTCTGATAAGGGCCCGGCGAGGGCTCATTCCTCTCAATACAGAGTAGTCTGAAAATAATAGGACAGACTATTGAGTCCTAGAAACTGGGACTCTTGGATCCTAGAAACTAGGACTATCGGGCTGTAGAAACTGGGACTACTACCCGAAAATAATGCCCGGGGGTTGTATACAAATCTAATGCCCGCCACGCGTTATTTTCTTCAATAACTCCCGGGCGTTATATTCAGTAAATTGGTGGCAACTTCGGTGGGGGCCCAAAATTCCGAAAAAGAAAAAAAAAGAAAAAAAAAATGAAAATTCTGTAAAAAAAAAAATGTTGTCCAGAATTGCAATCCGACCATCTTTTGGCTGAGGGTCACCACAGAATTCCTTATAAACTCGGAAAAAATAAATAAAAACAACAAATAAAACCGAAATATGCCCCTTGCAAGTCAAAACCTCTTTCAACCCCCTTTAAAACCCATGTATATCCCCCCCGCCCTTTCAAACCCATTTATACTACCTCTACAAGGCACTCTGCCCATGGAACATTCAAATATAATGCCCGGGCATTCTATTCCAAGGGGCGTTCTATTTGAGAAAAAGAGAGTAAAAATGGAAATCTGATCTTTTTTGCATGGCTACCATCTGGAAATCCAGACAGGCGTCCAGACGCTCCGCTGTCCGGTGTCTGGACGCCGGACCGTAGAAGGCCGTCCGGAAGGGGCCAAAACCCCAAGATTCAAAAAAAAAAAGGGGGCACCCTAGACCTGTTCCTTGGGTCCACGGCGTCCCCTGAAAAATGTTTTGATGATTTTTGGGGCCAGTATCAGCCGCACAGGGCAGCCGGACCGGCCCCTTTTCTACTTGCATCCTTGGCAGACCGTTGGAGGCAGAGCGCAGTTCCCCAGTGACAAAGGGAAGAAGGGGCGGATCTAGGCACTTCAGAGTGCTTTCCCGCCCACCCGCTGCCGCCACACACACACACGCACGCAGAGGGAGAGGGAGAGAGAGCCCTTGTTACCGTTGTGCACTGGTGCGCACATGCAAGAGAGAGAGAGAGAGAGAGAGAGAGAGAGAGAGAGAGAGAGAGAGAGAGAGAGAGAGAGAGAGAGNAGAGAGAGAGAGAGAGAGAGAGAGAGAGAGAGAGAGAGAGAGAGAGTTTGAACTCGGACTTCGAACTTTGAACTTTAAATTCTGAACTGCTAAAGTCTTGAACTTTATTTAATATTTACCTTTATTCAAGTTTACTGCGGAGTGCTCTTTTTTTTTTTCTGTTTCTTCACTTTTCTTCCCTTTCAGCAGTTTGTGCTTTGCAGTGACTGTGCCAACACAGTGAGTGCATGTCAAGGAATGATCATTCATGTTTGTCATATATGCCAACAACTACGTCTTCCTGGAACACTTCCCCTTAAATCACGGATATACAATGAAACTGCATTCAACATGCATAAGAGACCTGCCAGTTTTTTTGTTTGTTTTTTTTTTTCAATCCAGACCAATCCGAACATGATCATCCGGACCATCCAGACCGATCCGGACCATCCAGACCGATCCGGACCATGTCCGGATGATCCAGACTGGTCCGGAAATCCGGACGTCTGGATCATATCCGGCCCGACTGGCTGTCTGGGTCCGGATCGGTCCGGTGTCCGGGTCCGCGGTAGCCATGCTTTTTAGGGTAAATTGAATATAATGCCCAAGATTTTTGGGTGAAGACGGTAGCTCCTAGAAACTGAGACAGGGAACCCAGACTTGACTCCTAGAAAATGGGACTATTGGATCGTAGAAACTGGAACTGTTTGGTCCCACAAACTAGGCTATTGGGTCCTAGAAACTGGGACTATTGGGTTCTCCAGACTGTGGCTATGGGTCCTAGAAACTGGGACTATTGGGTTCTCCAGACTGTGGCTATGGGTCCTAGAAACTGGCACAGGTACCCAAGATGCACAGGTTGTGGAAGGTGAATCTGGAGTGGAGGGTGCTATGAGCCCATAGAAGATGATGATCAAGCGACACTTGAGCAAAGTGGATATGCTGTACATTTGCTACACACAAGGTTGTAGCATGCTTAGTCAACAGCAGCATGCATTCATAGCACGTAGCATGCATGCATAGCCTGCAGCATCGATGCGCAGTATGTAGTATGCATGCGTAGTATGGAGCATGCATGGAAGTACGCAGCATGCATGCATAGTACGTACCATGCAATTGCTAATAAAAAGCTTATGTCTCTTAGATAGTATTTTGAGTCACCCGCTGGTTTCTCTGGAGTCTGTACTTAAATTGCTGTTGTTTATGCAAGGACACCCAGACTTCAAATCAACGTCGCACTGACATCGAGTTACACATGTAATGAACCCAGATCATGAGAACAGTTATCAACAATGCAAGTCCAGATAGACATCAACAGCTGATGAGAACCAATAACCAAGATAGTGTCCAGACAGAATAAGACGAGATAATCATTCACAGACGAAGGAGAGAGGAGGGAGAATGGACAAAAGAGAGGAAGTAAATACAATGCCCACTCCTGCTTCGGGCTCCCTCCTCCAACGCCACTTTAGTAATCAACAGTCTGAACGAGTATCTGAAGTAATTTCAATGTGCCACGCGGCACTTCTAATTAGTCCCTCATCAGCGCTGGTGCAATGTCATCATGAAGACCATCAGGTACGTATCACGATCTCTCCACAGTCCTGATCTTACTCTCCCTCGCAACCAGTCACCTCATGTAAGTAGTGTGGACAATGCCACATCAGCAGATGAGACAGGTGACATATGCCACATCATCAATGAAGACCAAGAACAGCGCCACGTAGACAGGAGCAGCGGCACATCATCACGCCACTGAAACCAGAGGCAGCACCATGTCAGAATACCACATAGACCATAGGCAGTGCCACATAAACCAGAGGCAGCGCCACATCAGCATGCCACATAGACCATAGGCAGCGCCACATAAACCAGAGGCAGCGCCACATCCGCATGCCACGTAGACCATAGGCAGCGCCACATAAACCAGAGGCAGCGCCACATCCGCATGCCACGTGGACCATAGGCAGCGCCCCATCAGCATGCCTGGCGCACAATGCCAGCGTCGCCTCTCCATCGTGTTGTCGTCCGCAGCTCTGATGCACAGCCAGCGTCCAGCCAGCGTCACGCTAGCATAATGCCAGCGTCAAGTCGAAGTCAAGCCAGCGTTGTAGCAAGACTGAATGTCGATTCCCTGTAGACCCCAGCTTATGTAGTGTTTGACTCGGAGGTCTGGTGTTACATACTTCAAGGAGTATGGGCAGAACCAAAGATCAACCAATATAGGATGAGCATTTATGCAGCGGAAGTCTGATAACGAACTGACTCACATAGACTGACCTACATGGCATC